AACATATATCCATGGTGGTAAGAATGTAAAACCTACTGTACACACAACAGTCATAATTATACTGTTTAGTGATTGTACTCCTGTAATTACCTATTTCTTTTTCTCTATCTTGTGGCAGCATTGATTTTATTCTGCAAGTTGTTGCATGGACATTCGAAACAAGCATGCTAGATATTGATAACCTAGGGGCATCATTAATAGGGTGCCCACTATGGTGCTTAGAAAAAAGTAATTTGCAGAATTACAAACATGTAAAAGAGTACAGGGCAGTTGTAAATGATGTATTCATTGGCCCATAGGATAAGGCTGCTATGACTGCCTGTACACAACCAAGAAAATCAAGCTAAAAAGTAAAGTTAAGCTCGGATCAGACACAGACTATAAGCGCTCTGCACTCTGCGTGAGGTTCCGTTAACCAATGAAATGCTGAGTAAAGCTGAGGATGTTAGGGAGGGGCTGTTTACCATGAGTTGGAAACACATCAAAATGCATGTTACATACATTTTCAGGTGCTACCATTGCCATCAATAGGGCTTACAATGCCTGTCAACGGACTAAAATATGAAACTGCACTTTTTTGGGTAAACACACATCAGTACAGCACATAGATGTAAATTAGCACCATTAAGAAAAGCTGCACAGATGCACTGATCCATGTTGCAATGCAGTGTTAAATAAATTGCAAAGATGTGAACAGGCGCAAGTCAGATGTTGTTATTACATTTATATTTAGGGATATTCTATTTACTTCTTACTAGCATTAAAACAGCTATGGACATTGGAGGAGTTGTATCTTCTTATCTTCTTTATCACACAGCAATATGGAACACATAAGGAGAGTTTTATTTTATGGGACAGATTACTATAAATCTGTTGAGTTGATTAATGGCTTTCCCCCACACTGGTTTACAAGTAGTACTATGCCAGCAAGAAAACAATCCCTTGATAACTTCTTATAGGTGTAATAAAACACCTTTGCCAGCACTGCAATAAATGTAAGACAGAGGCGTCTCTAAAACAAACCTTTGAGATAAAGGAAGACTCAGACAGGCTACATAGAGTTTTTCCAGTTCTCGCCTACTCAAAGTAGTCTAAACAGCCGGAGTATGAACTGAGCACACCTTAGGGTCATCAGATTACAGGATCAGACCAGTTAAATAAAAGGTAGAACATAGAATAGCTCTATATGGGAACTGCTCAATTAATACCCTCTGCAATCAAGAGTGCAAAGTATGTACATAGGGATTGTTTAAAGGAGAACTATGAGGTGAGTGCTTTTCACTCACTTCATAGTTCTAGCCGACCTGCGACAATGAGACTGTCACAGGTCAGCTCAGTAGATCGGGGAGTGAGCAAACACATACCGGCGTTCGCTCACTTGTCGATCCTGTCATGGCTCTCTGCCGTGACAGGGGAGGGGCTGGATTCCCCTCTCCGCGCTCCGATCCTCCAGCGCTGACTGGCGGAACGGACGGGGTAGGGTACAGCTGGCTCTGCCTCTGGATAGGCAGAGCCAGCTGTCACTCACGCAGCTGGGCGGATCCATACATAATTGTCGGGATCCGCTTCAGCTGCGGAGTCTCAGTATACAGTGAGCTGTAGCTCGCGGTATACTGAGCTTAGGGTGACGGGAAGATACTAGTTTGCTGATGGGGGAGGGGGTGGGCACAGCTGGCTCTGCCTCTATATAAGCAGAGCCAGCTGTCACTCACGCAGCTGGGTGGATAAAAATATTGTCGGGATCCGTTCCTGTCACAGTTTACTGCGAGCTGTAGCTCGCGGTATACTGAGTTTTGGGTCACGGGAGGATGCTAGTTTGTGTCCTCCCGTTACCCTTAGGAGAACTATGGGGAAAAGCCCTAACCCCATAGTTCTCCTTTAAGAAAAAGAAAATGCCTTCCCCCATCCAAGCTTGTTCCCATTGCAACCAGGTTCCCGTGGTAATTTTCAGGTTACAAAAATGAATACAGACATCTAATTGAGCACTATACACCTCCACTTTTCCAGTTCTCCAGTTTTTATAAATGCCATTGTTTGAACAATCTAGCTACAAATGCTTACACGGTTTAATAAATCACAGTTCTTTAAAGCAGCAAAAGGGTGACCTTTCCAGCAAACAGCATCAACACCATCAAGTCCTGTGCCAAGAAGAGAAAATTTAGCCCGTAGAAACTAATTAGCTTCCTCATTCCAAATAATGGAAGTAGGAGGATGACTACTGCTAGAGACAGCACCAAAACACTTTTTTAGACCTTGGCTAACCTGTGTGTTCCCTAAAAACTAAAGTCAGTAAAGTTTATTTATTAAGGATTGGTCATTTGCAGCTATGTGCAAAGCACAATTACCCAAAGAATTTAGATTTCCGTTTCCTGTAGTTCACTTTCTTATTAAATGTACCTGAATGTGAACTGAAAAGTTACAGTTGTACCAATTGGTTTTAAATGTGTCTATTAATGGAATGCAGAGACACAAATAAGAAAACGTTACAATTTCCATGACACCAAAAAAAGTTATACAATTTCTGTAAACTAATAAATTGCCATTTAATAGACAAAAATATTCGACTAGTTCACGTAATGAGAAAGTTATACACCAGACTATGCAGAATTAATTGTATTCCATGGCAGATGTTTTCTCAGCAGAAAAAACAACTATATTATTCAATTTTATTCAAAACCATTATGCATTTTTGTGACATTTTAAATAAGACTCGAATGCATTTTCCCCCCATTCAGCGGAGGATCTGACAGCAATTGTGATTCAGAAGTAAAATGAAAGTAGACTTAGCAAAAATTAATAAAGACAGAAATGAAATAAATTAGAAATGTAAAAATGCAATCAGTTCTTTTTTATTATCAGTTTACTCCTTGCAGTTACAGAATATGGTGAGGACATGTCACTGTCAAACTACATGGTTTGGAAAATACTAAAGTAGTCATGTGGACTGTCAAATTGAATGCTAAAAAATATAATTGTATATTAAAACACACACACACACACACACACACTAATGTAGTCCATTTTTTTCAATTAACATATTAGTTAGAAGAACAAGAACTTCCAAGACAGATGCTAATATCCTTAAGGCTGAACTCCAAGCAAAAATAATATAGTCAAAGATAAAATAAAGTAGCCTTTTCTGCAATACCTACCTTCTATTGGACGTTACTTCAGAACATGGTTTGAAAGCCAAACCAGCTGCATACTAACAGGCTAAAACAACTACTATCTAATCTCCAATTAATATTCAGTCTATATATTGTGTTTACATTACAAGCCCTGATGGAAGAGGGTAATTGTGGACCCCTGCAATACATTGGATTCTTTTTTCTGACATTGAATATTGTGCTATTATTCTTAAACTTGTTGTTTTTGTACTACAAACCAAGGAAACTGTGGAAATCCTCTGGAATGTAGGAACGAACAATCTGGTAACCAATTTACCCTCATCAGTGGATAGTAACACCAATAGGACAACCTCACAGATCCAGCACTGTCTTTCCACTTCTTAGATCTTCTAAGGGAGAAGGCCAAAAAATAGGAATAAAATAAGCAAATAAAAAAGGTGAAAAAAATGCTTAGTAAAAAGGGGCAAATAGTGCTGGTCTGGACTCCTCACTTGGTCCAGAAACCAACTCGCCCCCATTACCCACCTGCCAAATAACTCTTTTCCACTCTGTCCAGGCTTTATTAAATACTTTCTATATATCCAAAAGGATGCTAGAAAGTTTACCATTCACTGTAATCTACAAGAGCTTATTCGAGCTGGCAGTTTGACTCAACTGCTCAGTCAGGGCCAGTCTTAATTTATACAAAAAGTAACTTAAGGTAAAGAAAAAGGGATTAACTCGTCACAGAATAACGGGTTGGTAGTGGTCAATTTAGGGATCCGGACAAGTCAGTTGGTTAAATGAAAAATTTATTTTATTGAAAAAGACACATAAGATAACACATTTGACTAACAATCCTACCATAAAACCTTATAAAAAATACAATCATAAATTAGATGTGGATCGATCCTCACTCATACCCAACATTAGTTTCACCGTAAGGGGTAAATAGCCGGTGTAATTCTAGTATTGCTACTTATCCCTTCGTGAAATGGCCCATGTATATATCGACTAACATAGGCTGTCTGGCTTAAAGATATATCCCAGGGTTCGGGCAATCAAAAGGAAAGATTTTCTTGTGATTTCATTCTGTGAATTAAAGGAGAGGGTCAAAGTGGATTTGAGATGGTAACCTAGGCTTCGTACACTTAGAATGAAATTATGTAATGTACTCAGACGGTGGTACTTGTTGATAAGGTTGATCCTATGTGGCCATCTTACTTACACCTAATGAATTTCGTTTTTTGAAGATAGCAAATTATAATATTCCAACATTCTACATTATACCCAAAATCCATAAGAACTATAATAACCCCCCGGGAAGACCTATAGTCTCAGCTGTAGGAGGACCACTTGAGAATATGGGTAAATACCTGGATTCCCTCTTAAAAGAAATGGTAGTACAGTTACTTTCCTACACCCGAGACACCAAGGATGTACTTAATAAAATAAAAGACCTGACAATACAGGAGGGCTCCCTTCTGGTAGGAATCGATGTGGAATCACTTTACACGTCGATTCCTCACGAATGGGGACTAAAAGCCATAGAACATTTCCTAGATGTACATTTTCCACTGATGGCAACTCAAAATGAGTTTATTGT